ATACATAGATATAGACAGAATAGTCCCCGTAGAATAAGTATTAAGTTAGCTGTCGGTTGCAAAAGTTGCTCAAAGCCACCCTTGAACAAAGCAAGGATGACACTAAGCATCATTCATCAACATCAATCATCATCATCATCATCATCATTCTACATTCAATGATCATTAGCTTAGGTTTTATAAGCCTCGTTGACTAATGATTAGACCGATCAAAGAAACATTGATATTTTGACAAACATCGCTTTATAACAAAAGCAACCCTTGCTTATCGTGTAATATTAAATGAAACATGTTCAAGGGTGGTGAGAATAATTAATGTGGTGGGAGCCACAAAACATAAACATGTCTATTTTATGCATGAATAATTTTATTTAGTTATTACATGTCAGTTTTACGTTCACAATATGTTTGATAAGCCTTTGTTGTGGAAAGATTGTATTTTCCCAACAATATTAGTTTTCATGCGCAATGGAGACAATATAAAAGGCTATTCTGAGGTACATTACTTTATGCAATTATCTTTGTGTAGAAATAGCAATATATGTATGTATATATAGGACAGTAGGGTAAGTACAAAGAGGGACTGGTTAGTTTCTTCTTCCGAGCCGGCAGTATGCGACTTTTTTAAATATATAGAATAATCTTTAGACAGCAGTGAATTGATACTAAAAAAATCCACTAATAAAAACTAAATTAAAAGAAGTTATGATATTTTCATATAGTATACGATTAGATTTACAGGAGAAAAGTAATCTACATTTATAATGCATAGCAAAATTGCTAGTTATAACGATTCATTTCCAGCTCAAACCTCAATAGGTACATAACAGAAACTTAGCGGTTAAAATTTTGGCATAGATTGCGTGGCGTGGTTTTAAGGGGGAGCGAAATTTTTATGGGCATAAAATATTTTTTGGATCTTCTAATATAAAAATAAACCAGACACCCAGTAAATTATATATTACTAGCATTGCCCGCGGCTCCGCCCGCATTAGATGACCAAAAATCAAATTCTTAGGTTTTACATATTAGTATACTCTTACATTGTAGTTTTTGTATTTTTGCTCAAAAATGAGATATTTCCCTTAAAAAATATCCTATATGTTGACCCGGATAACCAGCTATCAGCATACCAAATTTCATCAAAATCTGTCCAGTGGTTTTTTCGTGATGCGGTAACAGACAGACAGACAGAAAGACAGACAGACAAAAATTCTAAAAACTATAGATTCGGACTCTGTATCGATAATAATGTCTTATTCAATTAGATTTCCGAAAAAATATTTAATGTACAGATTCGACTTAGTTACAATTTTATTATATGTATAGATTTACAACTCCTTAAACAAAAAAGAAATTAATACAACAAACTGGAAATCATGACGAGCGTCGATTTCACGCTTCGTTATTCTTAACACAAAACAATTACAGTAATAAAATACGGATAGATATGTAATATTTTAGAGTTATAAAACAATAAACACTTGTATACCAACCTTGAAAAGGTTTGAGTACAATACGATAGATCTACAGCATTAGCTAGAAACTGTGCGGCGAGCCGGAACGCGCTTTCACGAGCTGACGTAGTGCGCGTCACGTTTCACTACGCGCTCTTACGTAGAACCTAAATAAACGATCAACGTGTTGTATTATGTAATCTAGAGGCTCAGGCAAGATATCATTCTAGAACCGTTCAGAAATAGATATTTTTAAAATTGTATCGAAATCACGTGCTATGGACATAACATGTCATTCTGATATATTTTACACTACCGACTCACCCTTGCTTAGCTCGGGTTCGTCCCTAGTTAAGTTTTAACGGTTAGTATAGATTTATCAGAGATGAGATGTTTTCCCGCAGTAAAAAGTATCCTATATGTTAACCAGGATAAACATTCCAATGAAGCCATATTTCATCATAATCTGTCCACTGGTCTCGTGATGAGAATCCAGACAGACAAAAATTCTATTCTTCCACGATTGCCTAAGGCTCCTTATTTTCTTGTTATTGACAACTGTTTTAGTGCGTGGATTATGTCAGTATTGCGGCAGCTTTGAAAAATTTTTTAGGGGAATATGTACGGACAATGTAGAAATTGTTTCGTTTCAGATACAGAGGCGTAGCCGATATCGTAATCTACCTTTGTCGGATTAAATACTATAAATACAGTAAACAAGCACGCTTAAATTATTTGAAAAACACGTTGATTTTGACACGTTTTTTGCACTACCAGTGGTAAAAACATGGAGGCATAAATATATTATTATTTGATTTTCAACAATACTGACAAAAACAAAACAAAACGACACCCAATGATTAGATATTATGTTAACAATCAGACCCCTTTTAAAATATAGTTTATACTTAATAATACAAAGGAGAATTTATATATTTTTGCATAAAATATAACAAAATTTATTAGGTTTTCTACTATTGTTTACCAAAGTTCAATATATTTACTTTATAGGCATGTGTGGACGATAGTTACATTTACACGAAAGCTTTCACAAGTTTTTTATAACTTTTCTGACTGTTATTCAAAGCTTCATATTTTTGTTTGTTTTGCTTAGAGAAAAGGGATTCGTTGATAAAATGAAAAAAATCTTTCTGAATGAATGTTTATTTTTCGTAAGTTATATTTTATATAGGTACATTAATTGTCGGATCAATACTTTCATTTTATCTATTTACTATCTGCGTAAGTTTTAATGTTAGTATGGAATAGATAGACTATATAATAATATATACATACATAGGTATCATCAGGTTTTATTATAAGGAGTTTTCCCGTGGGATTGAGATAATCTCCCGCAGTAAAAAGAAGTCTATATCACTCTTCAGCCCTCCACACAAAAAATCACGGCAATCCGTCATTCTGTTTCGACGTGCAAGAAGGACAAACAAACACACTTTCACATTTATAATATCAATAAGTTATAATAAGTATGGATTACAAATTCTATTATTTCTAATATTTTGTTTTATTTCAAATTCTAACTTTTTCGATAGTTTTAATACAGTCGATTAATCATTTTTATTCTTGAAAATTGAGATTCTTCAGCAAATTCCCAAAAATGCTAATAGAAAACATACTTATATGATAGATAATAATTCATATTATTTTCAAAATAATTTAAAAATCTGTTAGTAAAGACTTTACTGTAATAAACAATCAATATATCAATTAATAATTAATCATATTATATCCGAGGAAAACGATGTCCCCATGGGATAGCACATGGAACATCCATCTATATGGTAATTCCCTTAACGTAACATCCTGTATAGATTTCGATATTATATATTGAATTTCCTGCCACAAAATATCTAATAATACATAACACCTTTTAGTTGCGGTCTATTTTTAATGGAAATTTCATTGTAACCTATACTTTACAAAAACTTACCATGAAATCGATTTAAAACTGGCAAAAGTATCATCATATATGTATATGTATGTTATTATACTATTATACAAAAAACATACATATTTGGGTGGAATTTTATAAATATATTTTTTAGAATCGGTCCCAAACTGATTATAATTTTTTCAGTCTGTATGTCATGTATGTTATAAAGGAATGATTTTTAACCACTAGTATTCAATACATATGATATTGTGTTAGTTCAAATCTACACCTGCCTAAAACAACTATTTCAATACTTTTAGAATCTTTTCAATACATCATCAGTTACAAAGCCAACCAAGTTTAACCTCTCGACAGTTCGTTGCGCTCTACTTATTTTATCCAATTTCAAATTTATTGATCACGGCACAGATAAGAAACGTAGGGAAATATATAACAATGTACTTATATAGATATTTATAATTCGTCTAGATTGTAAAATATATATAATTTGACGGCACGTTTGGCTCAGTTTCTAGTGACCCTACTTGCTGTGCCAGCGGTCGCGGGTTCGAGTCCCGCTGGAGGCATTCGTTTGTGTGATGCGCACGAATGTTTGCACTCCAGTCATGAGTGTTTATATTTATGTATTTAAAGTTATATATGTGTAGTGTATCAACTATCTGGTATCCATAACATAAGTCTTGTAGCTTACCATGGAACTACATAGATGGTGATGTGTGTTAATGTCCCAACATATTTATTTATTATTTATTTATAAGCTATAGGGTATATAGTTAGTAGCTACATACATACATCAATTTATTAGGTAACTATATTTTATCATCCTAAGTAGTAAGCATATCGCCTTTCTTGCTTAGGGATTCCCCATTTCATAATTCACTTTCAGATTCCTTTCTATTCATGATAATGTTTAACATATTCCTTTCTGGAAGATCATATTTATATTTGTCTCCTATAGATGAAGGACTGAATCTAACTGTTGACATTAAACAACACTAAACAAACAAGCGGCCAATGCGCCATACTTAAAAAGCTAACACAACTATATAATTCTTGATCTATAATCTTTTCACTGTGATTTTATTTAGAAATCTTTTCCTTTATACAGAAAACATTCATCAAAGTATTTTCATTCATCCCTCGACATAATTAGCGTGATAGCAAAAAACAGATGGCATCGAGTCCCGCATTCAGCTTAACTTGACGCTAATAAAAACTGATAATTGCCTTTCCTGTTATATACTTACTAGTTTTTTGCTTATTATATAAAATATAAAAAAATATAGAATATGTATATGTGTTCAGGACACTTTTTACCATTCATAATCAAAGTATCGGTTATTTACATGTATTTGTATGTAGAAAGCACCATTATATAATTTTAGAGATTTATAACAAAACTTTCACCAAAGAGGCGCGTTATGTCTTTAATAATATATGTATTATTAAAAAAAATTAAATATTCGAAAATTTAATTTATGTGTATTTTGTTTCAGATGTATGACCGACGGCATGATTTAATAATAACTTGTGCCAAAAATGGAATATAAAATAAATCAGTGGACTTTATCAATTTGAAAATTTCTATGAATAAGGAACTCTCTCGGAATTTATCAATGGTAAGGTGAATGAAGCAGAACAAAATGGGGCGGCGTCGTTGGAGATTTGCTACAATCGCTGCTTTTCTGCTATTCATAACAAAAGACACGCAGTGTCAAGGTAAGATTTGTTTTAAATCTTTTATTCAAAATAATGTTCTGAAGCAAAGTTGAGTTTTGTCAAATATATAGAAAAGCTTCGTCTGTGTGTTACGGATGAAAAGCTATAATCACTTACTTGCACTGAGTGGGTTTCCTTACCTAACGTAGAACATCTTAAGGGACTCCAACAGTTAAGTGCAATAGTAAATTTCTATATATTTTTATAGATAAAATCAAATGAAAAGCCTCTTTATATCCACCTGATAAATTAAATACATGTCTCCGTGCAATGTGGGTTGCCACCCACGTGTGTCGCCTAACTGGCGCTCCATTTATTATTCAAGAACTAAGCACGAATAGAACGAGATTCCACCTTGTGAAATGTAAACTCATCTACTCTACATTTACCAAAATGCTACTCTTTTAAAATATCTGCACAAACATTTCTGAACAAACACAAAACGACGGAAAATTTTAATCTCGACTACACAAATTCTAAAAATATATGTCTCTGTCTTTAATAATTTAAGAAGGCTCAGTTTATTTTATCGTTCTGACTAGAGTATTTTTTTTGTTTTTGGTGCAGAATATTTTTAACATATAATACTATGAAAAAGCAAAACGTCAATTATTTTCACAATATATCAACATAATCAATCAATCAATATAAATCATCATAATATCGAAATAATTTAATTTTAAGGAAAATTGAAGGCTAGTGTTTGTAAAATCTATAAAAAATACTTCAAGAAATGCATATTAAACTACGGAATACAGTAATACTAATCATAAAATTGGCTTATTTTCTTTAAATCTCATATCCTAACCAATAGAATTCATACTTTATAAATCAGTAATAGGTTAAATCCATTCTCCCTAACCATCGTATTACGTTTTTTAACGTGAGCAGGCAAATAATTCTTTATCGGTATCTGTAGAGTAATTAGTATCGAGCTTCCATCAAAGGACGCTCAAATTAAGGTTGATTATAAACTAGAGTAAATAGCGCCGTTGTCATTATTTATTCAACAAATACCTAACGAAGTATTCAATGTAAGCTTGAATAAGTAAACGGATGTTTGAAATATATTCTTTTTTTTTTGTTTTGACCTTTATGTAATCAAAATTTTCCATCTATTTGAAGTAACGAAACAAAGTAAATGATTAATTTGTTATTTTACACAAACTATATGTTATTACACTGAGTGAGGTTTAAAAAAATATTTTTTCTTTTTTCCTTTTAATAACTACCGCCTCTTTTAAACTTCGATATTTTGAGCAAAATTTATATTTATTAAACAACACATTGTCCCCGCTGTGGCAATATGCAGTGCGATAGCATCTTTATGTATTTTGATTGGGTTCAAAAGGAAAAATTATTAATATGTATTTTAAAAATTATCTGCGATAAAATTTAATATTTATCTACGTCTCTATTTAAAATAAACGTATGAATAACAAAAATATAAATATTACCTAACAACAATTTATATTACTATATATAATTATAGATAATAATATGTTATAGATGATAATGTTATAGATGATAATTTGACCTTAAGTTGATATTAAAAATACAATAAACCTTCTCATTGATTTTATATTTTACTAGCAGAACCCGTGGTTTCACCCCCGATTAAATTATGGAAAAAAACTTTTTCATTACACATACTTTATTATTTGCAAAAATAGGTTCATGTAAGTTTTATTATTTCTTAAAGATATATGGAAAATAAATTTAATTTTAGCGATCGTAACTCAAAACATCCAGTATCTTAAAAGATGTTAAAAATAGGTTACACATTCTGTAAATAAATTTTCATTTTAGGTATTTAGTAAGGTCCACTACCTGTATTTTTTACACATTTTTCCACTCCATCTTTCCACATATAATAATGAGGCTAACACAATTTAACGTTAATTGACCGAATTACAAGTAACAACAAACAACAAAATTTTCTTAATTTTAAAGTAACTATAGTTTATCCATACGAGATCTATTTATCCATCTACCATATAACATTATATGTACATTGTATTAGCTACCACTATCTAAAAATTTTGTAGACAATAAAGTTAGGCATCTCGTTAAAACCAAGTTACTTACGAGAATTCTCATGAGAGATCTCTGACTCTGATATCTCTTTTCAAGTTTCACTCACTCTTTTTCTGACTCTTTTACATCTCTTTTTTTGACTATTATCTCTTTACCTGAAATACGCATTATGTACAAGTAATAATTTTGTAACGCCGTAATTATTATGACGACACGTTTGGCTCTGTTTGTAGTGGGCCCTACTTGCTGGGCCAGCGGTCGCGGGTTCTAATCCCGTTGGGATTCGTTTATGTGATGACCATGAATGTTTGTACTCCAGTCATGGGTGTTTATATTATTATATTTATAATGTGTATGTATTTAAAGTTATATATGTGTAGTATATCAACTATCTGGTATCCATAAAACTAGTCTCGTAGCTTACCATGGAACCAGATGGTGATGTGTGTCAGTGTCCCAACATATTTATTATTTATTTATTTATAGGTGAGTGGAGCCACATAAAAACCTAGTGTGTAAATAAAATAACTGTGCCTTTTTATGATTTTAAAATACCTCATATGACTGGTAATTGCTTGTTTAATTTATGTTATTAATTTAAACCTTTTAGTAAATACAAATTAAATTCGAATTATACAAAAACAGCTGTAGGTGTAATCTACTTTTAGCAAACAGGTCTTAACATTGCTGTCTGGATCGACTGGTTTAGCGTTCCTAAACCTAAATCACGAATCCCGCTCCTATGTATCACATAAGAAACAGGTTTCTTATACGAAAATATATACAAAAAACGAACAATCACATAACAAGCCAGTACTTACAACATAAAACCGTATTTAAATGCAAATGATAGTTTAGTTATTTCTATTCATGTAATGAAGACCAGTTACTTTGCAATTTTTAACTATGCCATAATGTTATGTAGATTAAATGTACATATATTTCACATATATATTCGTAGCTGCTCTTAACTTTCAGAAAATTTTATTTCTAGCTTATATTAAAAGTAATTAATATTTTTATACTTAGTCATGAATAATATAGTGATAAAAGACATAGACGTACGTAGACGCGTGTCGAACTAACTTTAGTTCATAAAGTTAATGATTTGTTTGTATATAGAAATAAATACATAAATAGTGCCATTTTTCTTATTTTGAAACTGACCAAAAATATATAGAAGTTATAAACCTTTACACATGTCTAGGATGTACATACATAAGTCCACAGCACAGATAAAATTCCACAATAATGCATCCGGAAGCAATTAGTGATGAATCAGGCCAATATAAAATACTATTGCAATTCATCCCAAAAAAAAATGAAAATTTTCCACATATTTTAAAATTATAAATTTATAAATCTAGCTATTGTTCTGGATATACTAATTTTCGATAAAAATTATAGCATGAGATTTTTGCGTATTGTAACTTTGAATATTATGAAAATCGAAAATAATTTCACGCCACTGACCGTTTTGCTCGAAATGGGTCGCTCTGAACCTTTCATTAGCCAAATATTTATATAAAAATATTACTAACACAAAGTTTTTCAATATGAAAACAAATATTTAGTATTAAATTCGAATAGTTGACTCTACATCCTCTGCTCCTAACTAAAATCTTACTTATTACTCTTATAAAAAATAGGTATTAATAATATTATATAAGTAAATAAACTTAAACACATAATTAAATACCCAGTTAGTGCTGTAAATCTAGTCTACCAATTTTAATTAAGCTTTAATTAAAATTTATCAGGCTTGTGGGAGATGTTCGGTAGTCGGTAGTGTACTAATTATCTAGTCAATTTTAAAATAAATTAGCAACTTGTTAAACATGTATAGTTTAGTTAATTTTTTAATACTATACAGTAATGCAATTTTAATTTTTTATTTTGGCCTCTAATGTCAATGTCAGCTTAAACCATCAATGAGATATTAATCTCTTGTCATATTATTTTGTACTACAAATGTCAGTTTATTACGGCTCTTATAAATAGTCGATGGGCTTTTGTTCATGGTCAATTATTATTTTTAAAGCAATTTTCATAAATTACTAATACGGTATATGATCTGTGCTAATACTTAAATAAAGGCGTTAAAGTTATATATATATTTTTTATTGTTTAATTATTACTTAAAAATGCAGATAAAAACGTGTCATATAATTTAATTTCAAATTTCAAAACTCAATTTAAGTTTTTTTTGTGCGTATATTACGCGATATCTACGCGAAAACTGAATAATCGCCAAAAAAGTTAAACGTATTTTAAATAAGTTAAATTTCATGGTTGTCAAGTGGGTTGTGCCATATAAATTTTAAGAAAAAATTCCAAGCCTCTAAGGGTAGAATAATTAATTACTTTTAAAGTGTTTTTAATTACCTTTACCTTTTTAGTTAAAAAAGTAATTATTTAAATACTTTTTATTCATTCATTGGATAAGTTTGATTATAATGAAAAACATTATAAAGCATTATTTAGGACATATTCCTTACTAACAGTTAATATACATATATATTTTATTTTTTATAAACAACAAACACACTCATTTTCACATGACATATAAATGTGAAGTACGAAACAAAATGAACAATAGCAGCTGGAGCATTTTATTTCCATTGCATACATATGACGACCCTAATTTTACTTTTCGTGAGTAAAGTATGAATTTTATGTTCCGCACGTGGAGTTCTTTCCACCTTAATCTCATCCGAATCCTTGTCATATCGTAAATTTTTATACCCTCTAACTAATCCTCTTTCTATATGGGATACGTAAGTTATAACGAAAATCTGCTAATATTTTTTAATGAGTGTGTTTGTTGGTCACGCAGCAACGTAATTATACACGAATAATAACGTAACATATTTTTATCCTGATATATCAAAGCTTCCCATTGAATATCAGCCCTTTGCAAAAACATTTTATAATACGCCTTACTGAAGCGAGATTGGACGACT